GCCATGGAGTTTTGTGTGTGTGTGTGTGTGTGTGTGTGTGTGTGTGTGTGTGTGCAGGTATGGTGGGAATGTGTGTATGCATGTGTATGTGTATGTGTGTGTGTGTGTGTGTGTGTGTGTGTGTGTGTATACACGCAAGGATCATGGGTTCTTCTGTCCCTCCATGGTTAGCCAAGCACATGGCTGAAAATACCTCTGATGGTTGGGTCCTCCTGGGATGACTGTCTGCCAGTGTGTAGCAAGTATCTCACCACTGTGGAGGAGCAGGTGGCTCCTGTGTATGGGTGATCCACCCCCATGGCTCCATATCCACCGTGGGCCAGTGGATTCAAGTCTGCCTTCGGATTACCTCATGTTTCCTGTATACTCAGCATTGCCCTCTCTGCCCCTCTCCCCCATGGTCCCCATAAAGGTGCAGAAGTTTGGTGGCACCCTTCTGTGGCTTTCCCGTTCTCTGTGGCTGCTTCGGGAGGTTCTGGGTGTGGAGCCCATAGCATGTGTGTCAGTAGAGGGAACTGAGGCACAGGAAGGCCCCCCATTGCTGAAGGGGTGACACCTTTCCTCCCTCTCCAGGCTGAGGCCCCGGAAGGAGCAGGGTACATATGCGCTCTCCCTGGTCTATGGGAAAACCGTGTACCACTATCTCATCAGCCAGGACAAGGCTGGCAAGTTCTGCATTCCCGAAGGCACCAAGTTCGACACGCTCTGGCAGGTAGGCCGACCGTGTTCCGAGGAGAACCCTGTGGTGGGCTGCTGAGCCCCTCGGGGCTTGGGAAGGCCCCACCTGACACCCCCTTCCACAGCTGGTGGAGTACCTCAAGCTGAAGGCGGATGGGCTCATTTACCGCTTGAAGGAGGCCTGCCCCAACAGCAGTGCCAGCGCTGAAGGTGAGGGGAGCTGGCGGGAGGCAGATCAGTGTGCAGGAGGCCATGTCCCGTACTCACTCACGGTCCCTCCCCTTCCCCAATAGCTGCCGCACCCACACTCCCAGCCCACCCGTCCACGTTTACTCAGGTGAGCCCGTGGCACCTCAGGGTTGGGACTTGGGTATCGGATGGATCACTTCAGGGAGGTCGGGGTGGAAGGAAGATGATTACGGAGGGGACCGTCCCTGGGGGTGTCCTCAGCGTGCATGGGTCCTGTAAGAGGGCTGGGTCCTGCTGACTGCGGCTGACTCTGTGACCCCTAGCCTCAGAGACGTGTGGACACCCTGAACTCAGATGGATATACCCCTGAACCAGGTGAGCGGGCAGAGGTGGAGGTGTGGGTGGGCCCATGCCCAACTGAAAGCAGGGTCCCTGGCCGGGCTGTGGGACTTAGCGGGAATGACAAGCCAGGGCCATTGACGGGGGTCTGTCCCGTGCACAATCGTGCTGAGCTTGCCTGCCTGTGTGTCTGTCCACCCTGGGTGCATGCTGACACATGGGGTGGGTAAATCACGGCCTGTGGCCATGTGTTTGGTGTGGCTGAGCTTCTCTTGCCCTCTGGGTCCCCCTCCCCATCGCCTTGTCTGACCCGGGAGTGTATGACTGTGTGTATGCCCAGCGCGTGTGGCATCCCCAGAAAAGCAACGGCCGATGCCCATGGACACGAGCGTGTATGAGAGCCCCTACAGTGACCCCGAGGAGCTCAAGGACAAGAAGCTCTTCCTGAAGCGTGAGAACCTCCTCGTGGCCGATATTGAACTTGGCTGTGGCAACTTTGGCTCCGTGCGCCAAGGAGTCTACCGGATGCGCAAGTATGGCCGACCGCTTCTGCCATGGTGGGGGCATCAGAGTCAGGGGCAGTAGGAGCTGGGGGGTCTGTCTCATGACAGCTTGCCTGAGAAGCAGACTCTGGGGTGGGGTGTGACAGGCTGGACGGTTATGTGGAAAGGCTAGAGACACTGGCCTATGCTGGGGGGGACTTGGCTAAGTTGAAGTTATAGCATCTCCCTGGGGGGCTGAGGTAGTCCCAGGCATCTTGGGGAGTGGATGGGATGCCCTGGCAGCGAGCCAGAGGGTGCCCCATAGAAGTCAGGGGACGAGGAGAGGGAGGCGCAGCCCACACTTGCCCAGCTCACACCCACACTTGCCTGTGTGGCCGTGCCCCTGGCAGGAAGCAGATCGACGTGGCCATCAAGGTCCTGAAGCACAGTACGGAGAAGGCTGACAAGGATGAGATGATGCGGGAGGCCCAGATCATGCACCAGCTTGACAACCCCTACATCGTGCGGCTCATCGGCGTGTGCCAGGCCGAGGCGCTCATGTTGGTCATGGAGATGGCAGGCGGCGGGCCCCTGCACAAGTTCCTGATTGGAAAGAAGTGAGCCTGGGTAGCTGGCCCCGCACAGGGTTGGGGAATGGAGCAGAGCGTACGCATACACATGCACGCTCACACACACATACACACACACACACACACACACACACACACCATGCCACTTGCCTTCACTCCTTCATGGACAAATGCCTGCCCTGTGTGCACTCTGATGCCCACACTCATACTGCAAAGTAGAGCCCCTGACTCAGTTTCCCCACATGCACCATGGCAATGATAGCGGGATCTGTACCCAAGGCTCCTGTGAACATCGAACGGACCTGCTGCTTACGGAGCACTTAGCACCTGGCTCTGCCAACAAGAGCTTTCTAGATGCCGGCCCCCTCACCGCTGCCCAGACTCTCTGTGCTGCGCACCGTGCCCCATGGGGACCGAGGCTGACTCCCCCTCCCCCTTCCACCCTAGGGAGGAGATCCCGGTCAGCAACGTGGCTGAACTGCTGCACCAGGTGGCCATGGGCATGAAGTATCTGGAGGAGAAGAACTTTGTGCACCGTGACCTGGCGGCCCGGAATGTTCTGCTGGTCAACCGGCACTATGCCAAGATCAGTGACTTTGGCCTGTCCAAGGCCCTGGGTGCTGACGACAGCTATTACACGGTGAGCGCCACCCCCAGGAGTCTCTAGGTGGAGGTGGCTGGTGGGTCAGGGGTCCCAGAGTCTTGTCCTAGCAGCACCTCCCCTTCTCAGGCCCGTTCGGCCGGGAAGTGGCCTCTGAAGTGGTACGCGCCCGAATGCATCAACTTCCGGAAGTTCTCCAGCCGCAGCGATGTCTGGAGCTATGGGGTCACCATGTGGGAGGCCTTCTCTTACGGCCAGAAGCCCTACAAAGTAGGCTGGGCTGAGTTCGGCCGTGGCGGGCGGGGGAGGGGGACCAATATGAGGGACCCGGGCTCCTCACACACACACACTTGCCTTTGTCCCTGGCCTGGGCAGAAAATGAAGGGGCCCGAGGTCCTGGACTTCATCAAGCAGGGCAAGAGGATGGAGTGCCCGCCAGAGTGTCCGCCCGAAATGTATTCACTTATGAGCGACTGCTGGACCTACAAGTGAGTTCCAGGTGGGAGGGGGTCTGGTCACTCAGTCCTGGGACGGGAGAAGTCCTCATGCCCGATCAGTGTCATCTTAACTCTCTCCAGTATTCCCCTCAAAGATCCACACCCGTGTCTCAGACTCTCCACATTCTCCCTTTAATCCATCCCCATCCATACTTAGCTCCCCAGCACACTGGCCACGCGATGCAGCCACGGGCCCTGCACACAGATCTGACAGTACTGGACCACCACAGCCACACTGTCGTCACCCAGCATGCTGTTAGTGTTGCACACTGTTAGTGTCGCACGCCTGGGAAGAATGTCCTGCACTTGGTTCTCGGCCCCTACCAGCCGACACTCCACGTCCAGGGTCTCAGGAAGACACTTGTGCAGGACCCAAATAGTTAACACACTCAACCCCCATCCACAACCCCACCCAGAGCAGATGATAAACGACGCACCCAAACAAGGGTCACCTATAACGACTATGAGACATGACATCCCAGCATTTGATACTCCACGAAACGACAGGGCATTGACTTTGAAACAGTCCAGCTGACCAGGATGGGTCCATTCATCCTATTTCAACCCATGTTAACTCAGGCTCCCTCAGAAAACACCCAGTACACCCAAGCCAGAGGCTAGCACCTAGCAAATCTCACTCCAGTACCACGAACAGCTCCCTGCTGGTCAAGCCTGCTCACCGTTCACGCATCTCCATCCCAAGCCCCACATCTGTCCCCATATAAACTTGTGCCTGGCTCGAATACCCAACACGGCTACATCCAGCATCCCTGCTCCCTGTGGGCAGTAGCTTTCACTCTGGTCCTCAGTGTTCCTGTACCCTCCCGGACAGCTCTCAACACTATCTGATTATCTGTGTTCTGTAAGCCAATAACTCTACTTGTTTTGGAGTAGACACCCCAGAATTCCATCGCTCTCACACCCAGGAGACCTCATCCAAACCCTGCTCCTTTGGGCCCTGAAAGTCTACCCCCAACTCCCCACCCCTTGATACCTTCCTGCCCTCTGGCTGACATTGAGTTCTGGGTCTCTCCACCCCTCACAGGTGGGAAGACCGTCCTGACTTCCTGACCGTGGAACAGCGCATGCGGAACTACTACTACAGCCTGGCCAGCAGGGCCGAGGGATCCCCACAGTGTGGACAGGTGGCTGAGGCTGCGTGTGGCTGAGCCCCAGGTCTCCCTACACCCAGCCTTTCTTCTCTGACCTCACACTCGGTCCAGGATGGGCTGTGTTCAGGAGCACCCTGTACCTCAGGTCCACAGCCCTCTGAATGTCCCATGTGATTCTCCCTTCCTCATGAGCTGGGGACGGTGGGGCCCTGGTCAGCGGCACTGAGGCTCTGGGCTGAGGGGACATGTGCTCCCAAGGTCTTACTTCCTCTGTTTCTGCGTGGGAGCGAAGAGTCCTCCGGCGGTCTCTGTCCTAATTGGAATAAATTCCACTTCTCTTCACTTGAGTGTCCTCTAATCTTTTCAAGGCTAGAAAGCTTGGAAAGGGGTGGGTACGGGAAGGGGCTGGTAAGAAAGAACTTAGCCCAGCCCCATAGGGACCCCACAGAAGACAGGCTGGTGTAGGGAGACCTTGTCTGCCGTAGGGTTATCTTCAGGTGAACGAGGTGCCAGGGAACCTGGGAAATGGAGGCCAGGGCGGGTCTGAGGGCTGTGTGTGCATCAGGGCCTCAGCATCCCTGAGTGGACTGCGCACCATGGGCGTGTCTGTAACAGCTGCACACTAGGATCACCTGGAGAGGTTTTTACAGATGACCCGCCCCCTCCCCAGCCAGCTGAAACAGGTTTTCTAGCCTTTTGGGGCAGTCCTCATCCCCAGTCCTGACTCAGTTGTTAGCACCTCTCCCCCCTCCCCCTGGGCACAGGCAGTCACAGCTGAGGTCCAACTTACCACTTGGTATCATAAGTGCCAGCTCAGCCCCGCTGAGAACTCTCCAAGTCTTACTGCCTCAGTTTCCCTACACAGGAAATCAGGGTATTGGAGGGCATAACCCAACAGGTGAGGTGGAATGCAGCCAGAATTCCAGTTCCACCTGTGCCCTCAGTGGGACCGGCTCCTCCCTCAGTGGCTAACCAATACCCCCTTCCCTTGCCAGTGTGACTTTTTTTTTGTGGTGGGGGAGGGCATATCACGTTCAGAGCCAATGAGAGGTGAGGAGGAGATTTGCTGGGGATTCTGGGAAGGCAAACTTTGCTTTTATTTGTGGTGGGTCTCCAGACACTCTGGAAAGCCTGTGGGAGTTTTGTGGGGTCACGGGAGGAGAGTTGTCTGGGATTGAGAGCAGCGAGGAGTTCCGGAGCCTTGACATGTGAGTAGTGTGAAACCAGGAATGGATGCTGAGGCAAGGCTGGTTTGTTCTGGTGCAGAGCTCACTGGGATTTCGCTTTTTGTTTTCATTCTCTCGCTGTGTCTCTGTACACCCCCGCCCCCGTGTGTGTGTGTGTGTGTGTGTGTGTGTGTGTGTGTGTCTGTCTTGGGGAGGAGGTTGCACGGGCTTCCTGGAGGTTATGAGCTGCCTGACATTGGTGCTGGGAATCGAACTCGGTCCCTCCAGAAGAGCAGTGAGCATTCTTAGCCACTAAAGCCATTTTTCTGCCCCCACCCCATTTTGTGTTTGAGATCGAAACAGACTGGGTGTGAAGGCAGGTGCCTGCTATCCTAGCATTTAGGAGGCCGAGGTAAGAAGATCACAAGTTGCACGTGAGCCCGGGTTACACAATGAAACCGTATCTCAACAACACACACTTCAAACAGACAACCAAAGCCAAGCAAAAACCCCACAGCAGTGCCTTGAAAATAGTAAGATAAATGTTTTTCATTGGAAAATGACTTTAATAGTTCATATGTGAGCTGTAGTACTAATTCACAAACAATACTAAAATTTAAACCTTTTATTTAAAACGATTAAGTAAACCAAGAAACAAATTTCCTCCATAGGAAGATTTAGTGGCTCTTGGAAATGGTACTTTTTGCGAATATTTCAGTTGTATTAAAATTCATTTGTTATTGGTTAATGATACATACTATTGTGCAGTCATATAACACACTTAATGTATTTTGATTTTCATTTATTTTATGGTCAGCATTGTTATTTGCTTGGTTTGGTATTTAAAAGTCACCCATGTGGGTGTGTCTAGTAGTACACTGGGAACGGACCTGCAAATGTTGCCCGAATCCTTTGAAGAGATGCAGTTCTAAAATATGACCACAAGGTGACGCCACTGTCAAAGCAAAGGCGGGCTCAGGTCCTTGCACTGGGCGCTCAGCTCTGGCCTCTGAGTGGGAACAGAAGAACACAGACTCCTCTCCGACCTTCAGGTCCTCAGACCGGTCTCCTGCAGTGTGGCACTCCAGATCCTCTTGCAGGATGGTTCTTGCTAGCCTCTCGGATCAGGTCTCCCCAGCCTCTCCCAGCTCCCGGAACACACCCTGCCCCTTGTCTCTGTATTTCGTGTGGCCTCTGCCTGGGATGCTTTTCTAGGAAAACTCATAATGTGCTTACAGATGTAGCCCGAGCTGCCCTGGGGGCAAGTCATGTAACCCTCCCGTGCCACAGTTTCTTTGTGTGGGTTGGCTGAAAGAGAAGGTAAACTGGGGACAAGGAATGGGATCTCAAAGGTATTGGGGAACTTTGCTAAGGATGCTCGGGGAGGAGAGTGTCCTGGCTTTAGAGAGAGGAGGAGGAGGAGGAGGAGGAGGAGGAAGAGGAGGAGAGGAAGCAGAAGAATGGGCTCAGAGTGGGGCCTGAACCCACCCCTGCCCCAGCAGCTGAATGGTGGGACATGTCTCTCTTTCTTCCCAATATTATCCACTCCTGCAGGCCTCCCCTCCCCAGTCCCCTACAGCCTTTTCTTAACCCCAGGCTGTGCATGGCCTGGCATCTATGGATGTCACGCCCAGCCAACAAGACCACTGACATTCTGTAGCTGCTGGCTCCTTCTGCCAACTAGTTGACATCTCAACAAGGTTCCAGCAGGAGAAACCCCTGAAGGACTCAGTCACCATTGTTTGTTTGTTTTTTTAATGTTTAAAAAGTAATTGATTTTAGCCGGGCGGTGGTGGCTCACGCCTTTAATCCCAGCACTCGGGAGGTAGAGCCAGGTGGATCTCTGTGAGTTCGAGGCCAGCTTGGTCTACAAAGTAAGTTCCAGGACAGCCTCCAAAGCGACACAGAGAAACCCTGTCTCGAAAAGCAAACAAACAAACAGTAATTGATTTTATTCTGTGTCTGAGTGTTTTGCTTGCATGTATATATGTGTTTATACATGTGCTTGCCTGGTGTCCGAGGATTTCAGAAGAGGGCATTGAAGCCCTGGAACAGGAGTTAGACGGTTGTGAGCCACCATGTGGGTGCTGGGAATTGAACTCAGGTCCTCTGGAAGAGCAGCGGGTGCTCTTAACCGCTGAGCCATCTCCCCAGTCCCTTGTCATTTTATTTTAATTTTTAGATTAAAGAAATATTTGTGTGTGAATCTTTTTCCTGCATGTATGTCTGGGCATCCCATGCATGGCTGTGCCCACAGAGTCAGAGAGGGTGTCAGGTCTCCTGGAACTGGAGTTATGGGTGGTTGGGAGCCACCACGAGAGTGTTGGGAACTGAACTCAGATGCAAGAGCATCGGGTGATCTTAACTACCTCGGCTTCTCTCCAGCCCCGTTATTTATTTATTATTTTTATTTTTTAATGAGTCCAGGTCTCTTGACTCAGAGTTACTGTGTAGTTTTCAAAGATGACCTTGAACTTCTGATCCCCCCCTGCCTCTACCTCCTGAGTGCTGGGATTCCAGGCAGGTGACCACAAACTCCGTTTTATGGAGTGCCAGGGAAGGAACCTAGAGTTTTGGGCACGTTAGGTAAGCACTCTCAACTTCGTCTCTGGCACTTTCTTGAGTCTTTGAGACAGGACTTCAATGTGTAGCTCTAGCTGGCCTGGAACTCAAGATCATCTGCCTCAGGCTCCTGAGTGGATCCCAGGCTCACATCCCCGATCACTGTTGGTGTAGATCACCCGTGGGGACGGGGATGGGCCCTCAGATCAAGTGGGTCTGGAGGCAGCGTGGCTTTAGGGAGAGCTATTTTGGACTTGGGCCGTGGGGGACACTTGGGGCCTGTAGCTGTAGTACCTGTTACGCTGAGGGTCTGAACTGTGTAGATCCAGCTGGTGAACAGATTGGGTGGAGGCTCTGTAGGTCCCATTTCTCTGAACTTTGGTGGCTGATCTATGGGGTGGTCTCTAGGCTAGGGCTGTGGGCCACCCCTGGGCTTGGTGGAGAGGCATCTCACCATGGGAGCCTGTGACCATGGCCCACTGCTGGGGAGGGGAGGGGAGGTGAACTTTGCCAGTCTGGTGGTTGGTTGTGTGTGTGATATCTTGGGGTGTAGCTGTTGGTGGGTGATGTTTCCTTCTGCCTTTATTTCTTGTTTTTACTCTGTGGGTGCCCAAAAGCTCTTAACTGTTGAGCATGCTCTCCATCTTCTCAAAAACTTAAAGAAAAAATGGAGATAATAATTGTGTGGTGGTGAGTGTTGGAGTGAGAAAATGCAGGCGCCTACTTCACCAATGGGAAAATAGCCCAAATTCACTGTGAACATCCAGCAGAGCATTATTTGGCCATAAAAGGAATGAAATTCTATCACATGCTATAATATGGTTGAACTTTGAAGCATCATGCTAAGTGAAATAATCCAGATCTTAAAGGACAAATACTGTATTTCGCTCACATGGACTGTCTAGTGCAGGGTAATTTGTAGTCAGAAAGTGGACTAGAAGATGTAGGGTAATGTACTCAGGATTTCTGTCGGAGCTAATGGAGGACTTTTGAAAATGGACAATGCCCCATGCATTCCTGTGCTCACACATAACAATAATAAAGCTAAATTTAAAAAATACTTTAAAAAATTCTCTTGTTACTTTGTCCCTTCAGAAGTTTACAGGCATATTTCTTAATTTTCAAATATTAGAATATTTTCTCCCCTGTTATTTAAAAAATTGCCTTTATAGTACTATGAAGATGGACCCTATTAAAATCAAAGCCAGAAATGATTTTTTTTGTGGGGAGGGATTCTGAGACAGGGTTTCTCTGTAACAGCCCAGCTGTCCTGGAACTCATTGTGGTTGCTGGGAACCAAACCCAGGTCCTTGGCGAGAGCAGAAAGTGCTCTTAACCACTGAGCCATCTCTCCAGCCTTTTTTGAGACAATGTCACACTGTGCAGCCTTAGCTGGTTAGGGACTCACAGAGATCCCCCTGCCTCTGCCTCCTGATTGTTGGGATTAATCGGGGGTGCTCCACCACGCCTGACAACACTCGACTATATTTTCATTTGATTTGCTGAGCTCTTCACTTCTGAGATTCCTGCTTGGTTTGTTTTTTTCAGAATATAAAAAATTTATTACTATTGTCTTTCCATCATCAAAGTTTATGCTTTTTTGGGTGCAAGATG